TCTACCTTGGGAAATCAAATAATATCCTCAGAAATCAAAACTGTTTCATTAGGGACCAGTTTGTAACAAACAGTCAGAGCCATAGTTATTTCCTTCCTTGTTCAGGTCCCTGCATTCTTTTACCTTAACATTAAGATCCATGCTAAGAGGCAACAAAAATAACACAATGTGTCTTATTTACAGCTGGACAAAACCATGTCCTCTCAGCAGCCCTGTCACCACCCAGAAGTCGTAACCCAAGTAGCAGTGTGGAGCATGATATGGGAGCAAATGAAGAAGAGCTTGATTTGTTATATGATCCATGCTTGAACTGTTACTTTGATCCCAAATCTCATAAATACTATGAGCTAGCATAAATGAAAGTCTCCAGTTAGATCACAGGCATACCAATCTCAGTGTTGTGGACTGTGCTTTATATGAATGGTCATTAATTTCAGTTACGAAGTGGAAGCATGGGTAACCAAGAAGTTTTAACAATTGCTAGGTTTCATATTGTGGAGGACTGTATATGAATTTGTGGTGTATTATGGAATCATCAACACAAGACCCACACATCAAGAAAAAGCACACCAAGTTTTTCAAAATCCTCAAATTTGGTGTTTATCAGGCTGTCAGAGATACAGCCATTCAAAAGCTCCAAAATTTAAAAGGAAATGACATCCAAGACAATCCATATAATTATTTCAAAGTAAGTTTTTTTTGTAAGATTTTGAATGGTTGTTTCTTTTTCAATACAAGACTGATTAACACCAAACTTGAGTATTGTAATGCTCAGTATGCTCTTTCTTATTTTTGTGGGTCTTTATGTTGATACTCGAGGGAAGGGGGGTGGGGGGCACTGCAATGGACTAGAATCCTGTCCAGGGGTGAGTGGCAATACTCCTAGTTGCTTAATGGTCCATATAAAGCGCACTACACCAACACCAAAATCATGGTAAGCTAGTGGTGTGATGATTGTGCATCATGTAGAATGGTCATAACCTGAGAAAACGGCCAAAATTTTGGGACACCACAGATGGTTCCCTGCGCAAAATGACGTCTGAGGAACAACTGCAGGAATTTCGTGCTCCTGATGACATGTCAGTACTACTCAGATATGGGTAGTACGTCTGATTGGTTTTGCCATTAGGAAAATTTACTTCAACTAATCAGAAGCCCTATCCAGACTCATGTCATCAGCTTTGAATTTCTGTGCTGGTTCCCCAGCCTTTTTCTTAGGCTATAATGGTCATAATTTATTATTTAATTTTATGGAAGTGTGGTATTCTGTGCACACAATATCGACAAGTAGAGCTTGTGACTAGTTGTGGTAAAAACATGTTCATAGTGTTATTTATTTTGGCACAAAGTGAGTGAATGTGTTTACGCACTCCTCTAGTGCTATTCAATAGTTCATGCTCGTGTGACTTTCAAAATTGCATGTAAAAAGATAAACAATCCACCTGGTTATAAAAGAATAAAAGTATGGAAATGTTTGAGTTTTGAGTATAATGTTTTTATATGCCATAACGCTAACAAATTTGTATTTGCTAAGTTTCTTTTCTCTTATAAAGGCAATTTTCCCTAGAGTTTCAACGAAACCAGTGCCTAATGATGACAGCTGTCCACTTCCGGTTAAGGTAGGGGAACACATATCACTAGGGATCTGTGTTCTCCTTCCTAGGAAACACATATCCCTAGTGATATGTGTTCCTAGTGATATGTGTTCTCCTACCCGGGAAACACATATCCCTAATAACATGTGTTTCCCAGGTAGAGGAACACATATCACTAGGGATATGTGTTTCTGAGGTAGGGGAACTCATATCACTAGTGACATGTGTTTCCCAGGTAGGGGAACACATATAATTAGGGATATGTGTTTCCCGGCCAAGTAGGGGAACATATATCACTAGGGATATGTGTTTCCCGGGTAGGGGAACATATATCACTAGGGATATGTGTTTCCCGGGTAGGGGAACATATATCACTAGGGATATGTGTTTCCCAGGTAGGGGAACTCATATCACTAGGGATATGTTTCCCGAGTAGGGATATGTGTTTCCCACGTAGGGGAACTCATATCACTACTGACATGAGTTTCCCAGGTAGGGGAACACATGCATATAACTAGGGATATGTGTTTCCCGGCCAAGTAGGGGAACATATATCACTAGGCATATGTGTTTCCCAGGTAAGGGAACAAATATCACTAGGGATATGTGTTTCCCGGGTAGGGGAACACATATCACTAGGGATAGGTTTTTTCCCAGGTAGGGGAACACTTATCACTAGGGATATGTGTTTCCCAGGTAGGGGAACACATATCACTAGGGATATGTGTTTCCCGAGTAGGAGAACACATATCAGTAGGGATATGTTTTTTCCCGGGTAGGAGAACATATATCACTAGGGGTATGTGTTTCCCAGGTAGGGGAACACATATCACTAAGGATATGTGTTTCCCAGGTAGGGTAACACATATCACTAGGGATATGTGTTTGCCATGTAGGGGAACACAGATCACTTGGTATATGTGTTTCCCGGGTAGGTGAACACATATCACTAGGGATATGTGTTTCCCAGGTAAGGGAACACGTATCACTAGAAATATGTGTTTCCCGAGTAGGGGAACATATATCACTAGGGATAAGTGTTTCCCGGGTAGGGGAACACATATCGCTAGGGATATGTGTTTCCCGGGTAGGGGAACACATATTATGTGTTTCCCAGGTAGGGAACACATATCACTAGGGTAATGTCTTTCCTGGGTCACATATCACTATGGATATGTGTTTCCCAGGTAGGGAAACACATATCACTAAGGATATGTCTTTCCGGGCTAGGGGAACACATATCACTAGGGATATGTGTTTCCCAGGTAGGGAACACATATCACTTGGGTAATGTCTTTCCTAGAATTTTCCCTAGAGTTTCAACCAAACCAGTGCCTAATGATGACAGCTGTCCACTTCCGGTTAAGGTAGGGGAACACATATCACTAGGGATCTGTGTTCTCCTTCCTAGGAAACACATATCCCTAGTGATATGTGTTCCTAGTGATATGTGTTCTCCTACCCGGGAAACACATATCCCTAATAACATGTGTTTCCCAGGTAGAGGAACACATATCACTAGGGATATGTGTTTCTGAGGTAGGGGAACTCATATCACTAGTGACATGTGTTTCCCAGGTAGGGGAACACATATAATTAGGGATATGTGTTTCCCGGCCAAGTAGGGGAACATATATCACTAGGGATATGTGTTTCCCGGGTAGGGGAACATATATCACTAGGGATATGTGTTTCCCAGGTAGGGGAACTCATATCACTAGGGATATGTTTCCCGAGTAGGGATATGTGTTTCCCACGTAGGGGAACTCATATCACTAGTGACATGAGTTTCCCAGGTAGGGGAACACATGCATATAACTAGGGATATGTGTTTCCCGGCCAAGTAGGGGAACATATATCACTAGGCATATGTGTGTCCCAGGTAAGGGAACAAATATCACTAGGGATATGTGTTTCCCGGGTAGGGGAACACATATCACTAGGGATAGGTTTTTCCCAGGTAGGGGAACACTTATCACTAGGGATATGTGTTTCCCAGGTAGGGGAACACATATCACTAGGGATATGTGTTTCCCGAGTAGGAGAACACATATCACTAGGGATATGTTTTTTCCCGGGTAGGAGAACATATATCACTAGGGGTATGTGTTTCCCAGGTAGGGGAACACATATCACTAAGGATATGTGTTTCCCAGGTAGGGTAACACATATCACTAGGGATATGTGTTTGCCAAGTAGGGGAACACAGATCACTAGGTATATGTGTTTCCCGGGTGGGTGAACACATATCACTAGGGATATGTGTTTCCCAGGTAAGGGAACACGTATCACTAGAAATATGTGTTTCCCGAGTAGGGGAACATATATCACTAGGGATAAGTGTTTCCCGGGTAGGGGAACACATATCGCTAGGGATATGTGTTTCCCGGGTAGGGGAACACATATTATGTGTTTCCCAGGTAGGGAACACATATCACTAGGGTAATGTCTTTCCTGGGTCACATATCACTATGGATATGTGTTTCCCAGGTAGGGAAACACATATCACTAAGGATATGTCTTTCCGGGCTAGGGGAACACATATCACTAGGGATATGTGTTTCCCAGGTAGGGAACACATATCACTTGGGTAATGTCTTTCCTGGGTCACATATCACTATGGATATGTGTTTCCCAGGTAGGGAAACACATATCACTAAGGATATGTCTTTCCGGGCTAGGGGGAACAGATATCACTAGGGATATGTGTTTCCCAGGTAGGGAAACACATATTACTAGGGATATGTGTTCGGGGGAACACATATCACGTGGAAACACATATCACTGTGACGTCACATTGATATGAGTTCCCCCTGCGAGCTGACACAAGAAGTAGGAAATAAAAAGAATTAATAATATTATACCCAGAACTGAGATAACTTTCGTTTTTTTGATCAGTTCAGATTCAGATAACGCATATTTTATGACAAACTCTTTTTATTGACGTAATCTCTGTGAAAGCACAGGTAGCCCAAGCTTTATAAGTCAATGTTAATTTGAGACTCGCCATAACATTGCATCATAGTGAAGATATAAGGATTTGTATAGGGGGGAAATAAACAATATTTCTTGGAAAAAGTATAGACGTGTTCGACTTTATTAGTTATGATTATCTTGCAATACTTTTTATTGTAGTTTTTACTAGTTTCTCCACTTTAGTCACCTTTAACATAAATTTGATATAACAATATTGTAAAGCGCAACCGAATATATTCATATGGAGGTTTTCGCTATATAAATGTAAATTATTAATTATTAGTCTCGGTTCTAAAACAATTACTTTGGGAAAATACTGCAATTATTCGCTGACCACAACGCAGGGTGACCGCTTTGCAAGTTGTGAGAACATCGTTTCTCTGTTCCAGAACTCGTCTCTCCCCCCCTCTCCCACCCCGGCACCGTGATCCAGACTCTGTTGCTTCGCTAGCCACTGAACATTATTCGAGTGTTATAATTTAGAAATGCGGCTATTTATCGCCGTCCTGGTGTAAAAATGCTTTAGCTAGTTCTGGGTTTTCTGAAACCCATTTCTCTGCAGTGTTCTCTTTTAACCAATCACTGTCCTTTATCTGCCGGTTCAACGTGTGAATTAAGTCCTCAAGTGTCTGATCTGAAGAAGTAACATTATCTTGGCTGTGACTGGGCGGGGCTTTTACTCTCCCATCCGGCTGTTTTGCACCTAACTCAGTTCGGACGTTCTTGACAGTTTTCTGTATTCTTGAGAGCCCTAAAACAAGAGTATGCAGAGGAGGCCGACCGTTACTCTTCTAGATGAAAATGGCGCATGTAAGCTTTCCGAACGGCTTCGAACGTTTACCTAAGCGTTTAGTATACGCTCATGTAAACGTCCAACGCAGAACGTTTCAAATGCCAAAAGTAGCCGCTCTCAGCTACAGAATGACAGTACAATACATTTTAGGCGAAAAAAAGGGTGAATTGATGTTACATGTCAATATTCATCGCAGTTTAATACTAAAAAAAAGAACTTTTCCTCTAACTTCACACATTCGAACGGTCAGACAATTTATGTGGGCTCCCTTTGACGTCACCTCTTTTAAAAATCTCAACGAAAGGCTGGGATAAAAGGGCCTTGCGCTACAAATCAAGACTGAACAAAGTACTTTTTCTTTATCGTTGAAGGTACAGTGAATCACTGCAAATACGGTCTTTGATCAGTGACTCACTCAACGTCGGATCAAAAAATATAGCGAGCAGGTAAAATCAAGGGGAGCATAAAATAACTGTGCAGTAGTCGTTTCCCATAATTGTTCACTCGTTCGTGACTGTTTTGAAGACTTCTGACGAGAAAGAATTGACAATTCAAGTTTTTAGATACCTTCGATACTTCCGAATAGCACCTCTGTGTTCTTGAAGAAATTCATCAGGCTAGTGAAGTTAAACAGTCGACTGAAATGTTCTTAAACCACAGCCAGTCTTAACGTCTTCTCGCCAGGGACGAGGGAGCCTATCAGCTTTCTCCCATATGGACACAAGTGATCTCCACCCCCAAACCACGGGGGGTAGGGGGCGTCTACAGAGTGACTTTGCGCGTTTATCGCAATAATTAACACCTTCAGAAGCCTATTTAAGGCTTCTGACACTTTTAATGTTTTTCAAGTTTTGATAAAGATGGCTGACAGTCATCGAAACTTTCAGCATCAATAAGACGTTAAGACTGGCTATGTTTTAAGAACATTTCAATCGACAGCACCTCTGTGTATTCTCCTCCTTACACTTCTTCAATAGGTATCTGGTCACCTCGCCACCAAGAATAGAACTTAGCTTAGCATTGGTTTGAACCTTCATTAACGGAAATTTCGTAACCGTTACTTTATGTTCATATTTCAAAGACATGTCTAGTGGTTGTGAAACGTTTCTGCCAGTTTTTTAATCCCTCACGATCGAATGTCAAAGTTTACATTCACAGAACCTAAACATGTATTATTAGTATTTGCATTATATATTTCAACAGCAGAAGACGTTCGACGCAAGGATCGTCAATATAGGATCGACAGATTTGTATTTGGATCGACTTTGAATTCGGATACGCTTGACCAGAATCTTAGGTAAGTAATCTAGGTATTAAACTGTTTCAGTTATTTCAGAGTTATTCCTTGGTGGCGAATCGACTTCTTGGTGGCGATTTAGTTGATCGCGAGATGACCGTAAACCCTTTAATACCTCCTCCCCCCCCTTCCCTTCCGCGGCCCCACCTTCTTTTGCTCCACGATTCGAACACAATTGTAACTCACCGAGTTGAAGAACTTCTGTGTCCATGGCGAAAATGATTCTAAACCATCCGGGTTCAGGACAAAGAAAGTAGGCTCCAGGATAAATAGACACGCCATTAGCTACCATTCGCTCAAACAGCTGATACTCTTCTTCAAATGTCGACGTTGGGACAAGCTAATAATAAGAGAAAAACCCACGATACTTTAGCTTGCTAACTCCGTACTGCAGTTATACTGACTGTCTAAACGTGCGGGTTAATATAATACGAGCAGGGTGACTATCGAATTCCAGTGTAAATCTCTTAATAATATCGTATATTTTTCTTCCTTTCCGAACACTTTGTGTGAAATCGCTGTAAGCAAAACGTGTGGCACATTATTTTTGCGGGTTCCAATTTATGCGATTATTGTTATTGTGTTTTGGGTTTTTTTCCGCAGTCCGGAAAAAAAAAGTTCCAGCAAATATGAACTACAGCAAAAATTTAATCCACAAACATTAACTCCACGGTCAACATTAGCATGGTGTCACAAACATCGCCATTTACTAGAAATGTCAGGTGGTTTGGTTATTAGGATGAATCAGACCCTGGATTAGAGCAATCGATGGCTAGAAATTGACCAAGTTTTTTTTGGATCAATTCACTGTCCACCTACCCCTCCCTTAAGCCAACATTAACACTTACTTCTCATTTAGGGCAAAATGTTGACGTAGGGGAGGGGTAGGTGGGCAGTTTCCCCAGAGACCTAAATTGATTTTTTTCTTTTTTATGAACAGAGGCGAATTCGAGGTCGATGAAAACACACACATTAAATACGAGTCCAATATCCAGCTATCTCAACCGAACAATCTTGGTCAATAAAAGATTTATTATATGCCCAAGAAAACGTTTTCACGTGGGACGAGAGCGGGAAATCCCGATCGGGAAAGATGGGCCCACCTTTCCCCCTGGGTAGCCAATCAGAACACAGGGATGGCTTCATTTTGACCGCTCGCGGAACCAGTCAAATAATAAACAAGATTTAAGACTTGCATGCGTAACAAAGTATATGACTATATGCAAATGACTCTAAGAGTGATAGGTAATAACAAGCCACTACTCCATAAATCAATCCTGGAGCCTCAATAGAGGTCAAGCAAAGCGGTTGATTACTTGATCTGTTTACCGGCCGAGCTGCAGCCACGTTCCATGTTTTTTGCGTGATTATTTGCAGATTCATCATCATCGAAATTGTGGCTTTTCAAAATGCTGTAATCAACACACAAGAGCGTTCATGAGCTCCTTCCTCAACCGTACCCCCACCCCACCCAACCCCCTCCCTCCCCTACACTTACACACACCCCACCAAAGGGAAGACTGAATGGCATACAGAATGCATCTTACCTCTCTAAAATCCACCCAAACAAAAAGGCCGCCTTCTCCCTGGATGAATGGAATGTTAACCTCACGAAGAGCATTACAAGTGATGTTATATGCTTTCCGTAGTCGCTCTTGGTTTGTTGGTATAAAAGTCTTATCTAACCAATCTGCCAAACGAGACATTATAAAGATTTAGAGTTGCTGTCACTTCCCAACTGACTAAGCTATTTGATCTACAACTCTATAAGCTACCCTGTTGCAAGAAGTACTGAAGGGCAATATATGGACTTAAAAAATTTAAGTCTCAGTCACACACACCGTGGGAAAAGCTTTTTCCCATGATATTTCTCTCGCGGTATGTATGCTGTGGTAAAAGCGGTCAAATCAAGTTCTTTTTTTTTCCAGCGGTATTGCCGCATGCAGTGGGTGTTTTACGCGGGAATTTCATAGGCACCCCACTGTTTGTTTGTTTTTTATTGTGAGACAAACATCTCGGTCGTTGTCGTGGTCACCTTCTTTGAAATTCCTGACGTATCTATGGTTACGCTTCACGGCAAATTCACCACCGGAAGAACCGGTCACACAGGTGTCTTTTTTTTCCGCCAGAAAAGGACGCATCCCGGGGAAAATGCTTTGTATAACCACAAATAAAAAGTAGATAAAAGAGTGGCCAGTGGAGTAACGAGCAAAGGCTGGCAACTTGTCCCCAGAAAGCTCTTCTTTCCCCGGTTAACAGTTCGTGAACGACCTTGTCTTAGTGGATTAAGAAAAAAAGTTTAAAAGGTTCCAAACTGTTCAAATTCACATTCACACAAATTAACACGACATTCAAGTTATTGATCGATTTTTTTTGTCCAATTTCTTGTCCGATTTCTTGTCTGATTTTTTGTCCGCTTTTTCGACCGATTTTTTCGTCCTATTTTTGTTGTCCGATATCTTGTAAGATTTTTTGCCCCATTTTTTGTCCGATTTCTCTTCCGATTTTTTTTGTCCGATTTCTTGTCCGATTTTTTGTCTGATTTCTTGTCCCATATCATGTCTGTTTTCTTGTTTGTTCTCATGTAATATATCAAGCATTAGACGCAGTAGAAGAGAGTTCAACATACGACGCGCAGGGGAGTATTTTTGACGATTTTCGACGAAAAATCGGAAAAGAAATGGGACATAAAAAATCGGACATCGGACATCAGACATCGAAAATCGAACATTCCACATCAGACATCAGACATCGGAAATCGGACATCGGGCATCAGACATCGAAAATCGGACATTCGACATCAGACACCAGACATCAGACATCGCAGATCAGACATCAGACATCGGACATCGAACATCAGACATCGAAAATCAGACATCAGACATCGGACATCTGACATCGAAAATCGGACATTAGGTATCAGACATCGGAGATCAGACAAAAGACATCCGACAGTCGGACAAACAACTGGACAAAAAATTTGACGAAAACTCGGAAAAAAATCGGACAAGAAATGGGACAAAAAATCGGACGAAAAATCGGACAAGAAATTGAGCAAAAATAAAATCAGACAAAATCGGACAAGAATCGGCTAAGGAGAATAAAACTAACCTCGATCCTTTATAAGGTTTCTCAGGATAACCTGCGTAAAAAGAGTGGAATTGGTAAGGTCAGTAAAATGAATTAATAAACTCCATTGTCTGCTAACATGTCGAGCGTGGGGCTGAAGGCTCAAAATTCCTTCTTACTTTCATCTTAACGTAAAAATCTGCCATGTCAACATCGTTCTTTACTGAAACAGCGCGCAAGAAACCCGCTAAAATAATCCATTTTTATTGCAGTTTCATGCTAATTTGGTGTCTAATGAGGAATACTGATTGGTTCTTGTGCCTTGGGTATCGAAACACGTCAGCTATTTACCACGTTAAATGTCATGGGCGGTTTCTTTGTTCTTTTTGACGTATCCATGGATACTTCCCATGGTAAACTTATGTCGAGAAAGTCTGGTCACACGCACTTCACCAATTTACTACGGTAAAAGTGTCCCGTGTAACCGCACCTAATAGCTACACTTGCAGATTACACTTGTAAAAGTTTTATTAAATTGACCCCTGGTTGCCTCACCAATGAAAATGTTTGTGGCGGCACTGGCCCAGCGATGAATAGTAAAGAAACTTACAAGAATTCAGAGCACGTGCAAAACTTTGCACGTGCAAGAATTTTGAGTTTTCATCAACTTTTCATTGCACGTGCAGAAAATTGTTGGTAGTTGTCTACGCTAATTTTCCGACGTCCTCAATGTCGCTGCCTCTTCGTTAATCGTCGTGGCTGCTTTAAGGTAAGTAGAACAAAGCGTTTTTCTAATGGTACAGTAAAGAAAATGATTCTTCAGTTCCATTCTACTCTCAAGGAAAGAAATATTGCACTTCTTACCTTTGCGAAAACAAACACTGAGAATTAGAATTGTATAATGTTAGACAGTTTTGTCTCAAGAAAAACCGTCTTTTGGGAAGGTAAAATACGAGAAATATCACCGCACCAAGCAATACAGTTTTCCATTGCAATGGCAAACGTTTTGGCGTTGCTCTTCACTAGCTTGGCACTACATGACGTTTTTCTTCCAATTTACATGTACAGTACATGAGGTGGTCTTCCTTAAAGCGAAACTACTATCACTTCAACAGGACCATGTCTTAAAGCATGAACTATTATCCTTCTCTGCTTTTTGAGGGTAGGAATGTGCTGTGAAGTGTCAAGCTGAATCTTGAGGAATTAGGGTGAGCAACTCAACAAGTTAGAAAGCCGACTTCATTAATCCTTCGCATTATTCAACAGTTATTTTTAACCGTATTTTTCCCGTTAATTATAAAAACTTAGTATTAATGTAATGGCTTAAAACATCGTGGCCCAGTTGTTCGAAGGCTGATTAGCGCTAACCCAGGGTTAAATTTTAATCCGGGTTTTTTTTTTCTGTTTAAAAGCATTTTCTCGGATAATTTTCCCTGTTCGTTTTAGAGCAACCAATCACCAACTTGCAGACCAGAGGAATTTAACTGAATTTGTTTTTTAAGCTTTTATATCTGAATTCAAATTTCACACAAACTCTGGGTTATCTTAATCCCGCTTTGAACAACCCAGCCCTGCAGTACTTTAAAATCATTAAGCTTCACAAATTGTGTTACATACCTGAGTTGGAGTAGCTAAATCATGGAAGCGCGTGTAACCCTGGGCCATAGCGCGATAAACTTCTTTGTTTCTTGTGTGAAAAATTCCGCAACGAAAACCGGACACACCAAAATCCTACAAACATGTTTCAAGAACATGCGAGAAAAGAAAACACCATTAGTTACCGCTAATTCGCAGGGGATGAGGAGCTGAAACTGGACGTGGATATAAATACCTTGCTGAATCCCCAAAGCACATGAAGCCTTTCCTTGTCTGGGATACTGAAAACAAAGCAAAAGGAAAAGTCCGTTCATATCCACTGGCAAATAATTTACGGTAAAAAAATAAAAGGCAGCGGCAGAAGAAAAAATGCTGTAAACAATTAAAGAAGTCTATTTGAACAAAATCACGTTTAACGAAAGACAAGGCATTCATGTATCGTTCCAGCTAGACAGGTTTCGCTCACAACGGTGACACTTTATTCCAAGGCTGAAAAAAAGGTGCACCAATATTCCTCGTCCAAAGAAGATGTCCGTTGCAATTTTCTTACATATCACCCGAACATGCCGTACAGTCCCCTTAATAAATGTAAAACTGACAGGTCTCTATCAAGCAGTGTTGGTCACCTATTTCTACACGTAGCTCTCAGTGTTCTCGTCGAGTTTAATTATTGTTTGTTTTCACCTCTACTAAAAGGTCACTTTACTTTTAGGAGCTCTATCGGTTCGTGACGTTCATTAGCCTACAGAACACCCGCTACTTTTTCGCGTTTTTCAGGCGAGCAAAGGCAAGCGCAGAGCGTGCGTGGAGCGCGAGACAGGCGTGATGGGGAACGCACGCGTGTCTCGCGTACTACACCCGCTTCGTGCTCGCCTGAAAAACATGAAAAAATAGTGCCTGTTCTGCAGGATAAACTACATGTGTGTACGACCTCGCTCTTATGGAGGCTTGTTTCTTTCCTTTTGTCACAAGGAAAGGTATAAAACCCTAAAACGGTTAAGTCATCACGTGACTTCAGTATAACTTCTCCTTGTAGTCTTCTCTTGATCTATTTTTGAAAAACTATTAATTTATCCAGCGCTTAGAACTGCTTAGGTTGCCATTCCCTTAAGGTAGCTTATTAATACAGGTGTCAATGAATCAAGACAGTGACTCACTCACTTTTTTAAACTTAACACATTCGTCATAGAGCAGCCTTCCTTGAAAAGTGACAGCATGTAAATTTCATCCATGATAACATGCAAAGAGTGCCTGCAAATGCAACCAGTGTCTTTCAGTTAGAGAAACACACAGCAAAGATTTTGAGAACATGCATATAAACAGGGACCACTTGCTTTGAACCATAACCATCCACACACCAGTTCACTCTCTACTGTCACCACTGTGGACAAAGCAATTAGTTCTCTCTTCGTCTCCTGACTACAAGTTTGGTACCAAGAAATGCCAGCATTTTAAAAGTTTTCCCTTCATTCCAATACTGACGTAAGGATGACCCATTAAATTGCAACAAATTTATTAATTACTACAGAGGAGTGCTAGAAAAAAAAAACAGGCACAAAAAAAATCATCATGATAACCAGTCTTCATCTAAAAATTTAATTAAGAAATCATAAATGCCTGCTCACCTTGCAGCAAACTGTAGACAGCCTTGCAAAAATTCTTCAGAATAGATAACTCCAAGGGGGTTGTTGGGGTTACACAACAAAACCCCCCGGATTTTTACACCCTGTAAAATAAAAACCAAATTAACAATAACTTTAAGGCCCGTTTACAAGGAGAGAGGGTTACCCTTGATCTAGGGTTACCCTAGCAAGCAGGTTTGAGATAGGCCAGGTTTACAAGCAAAATTTCACAGGTGCACATAGGGTTACCCTTTCACCCAGTCAAATTTACCAGCTTTACTGATGTGTTTCGTCATGTGTGACCACATAAGACTAAAATAAACATTCTTTGTGATGTTCAAGATTTGAAAGAAAACTTTAAGTTCTCTATGGAACACAAGTTAAATTCACAAAAAAAAAACAAAAATATTATCATCGTATACAGAAAATACAGTATATTGTTCAGATGTTTATACCATAATTTCACTCAGAAATTGGATAACTCCATTCAAATTGTCAAGATTAATGGTCATGCATGACAAAGGAAAGTTGTCCCAGGTAGGCGAGTTCTCATTAGCAGAGTGTTTACAAGGCAGATAGGTAACCATAGCACTTGGTAGGGTTACCCTAGCTCCAGGGTAACCCTATCTGCCTTGTAACCACATTGCATAAAAATAAAGAAGAAATGTGCTGATTCTAGGGTAACCCTCTTGCTGGGGTAACCCTAAACCTTATCTCCCTTTTAAAGAAGAAATGTGCTGATTCTAGGGTAACCCTCTTGCTGGGGTAACCCTAAACCTTATCTCCCTTTTAAACATGTTGCATAAAGAAAGAAGAAATGTGCGAGTGCTATGGTATCTCTCTTGCTGGCGTAACCCTAGCACCAGGGTTACCCCCCCCCCCCCCCCCTCGGGAAGGGGAAAAAAAAATGGCCCAAAAGCTACCAGCCACGCCCCCAGTAAAAACCCCAGAACAAACGCACCCCCCCATTTGACCCCCGATTGTACCCCCCCCCCCCCCCTCCTAGGGACAGGGAAAAAAAAATTGGCCAATAGCTGACCAGCACGTCCCCAGTAACAATCCCAGAACCAACTGCAGCTCACATTTGAGCTCCGATTCTGTTCTCGTTTCTAAAGTGTTAATACTCTAAATACGCTATTAAAAAACTGATTTCTCAATTATCCACAGTTGATTTGACCCAAGGAAAATACCTGCTCCTGTGCTTTCTGTAATGCTGATTCCAGTCTTTTAACAGTAAGTTCAAATGGCTGACTTTCGCCTGGACCAATCTGAAAGACGACAGATGATTGCTTCAGCAAAAGCTCTGTGAGACACTCAGACACTCTTATACTCTTTTCTGACTTAATTGCCTTGTTGTACATTACTGTTACTAACTCATATTTGTGGGCACTTTATTTTCACAAATGAACAGGCCTTAAGGTTTAGATTTGACTTAAGAATCATGATAAAAGTATCAGAACCTAAATTTCATGAACAATCTCTCAAATACGAAAAATCTAGGAATCTTCAAAACAGCATTTTACATAACCTGCGATCTGGCAGTCCTGCTTCCCTTTTTGTTTTGGAGGCAACTCTATCCCCCAAAAAAGAAACCTTATCACAGGTTACATTTTATTGAAAGCAATGAATGGCAAAGTCGTAGATTCACTCAGAAATGCTGCAACCTTCCCTGCTAGCAGAGTCATGAGTGACCTCTGCTAGCAGGGAAGCCGCAACTTTTTTAAAAAGTCTGAAATTTCGAAGGCAAAAAGTTTGAAAATACAAGACTAATGAAAACCTACAAAACCCAGACAAAACTAACATCAAATTTTTTAAATTTCGAGGACACATCAAAAGTTTATGAGACCTGAGAACTTCTTCAGATCTAGTAATGCATAGACTTATTTCAAGACATGTGATATGTTCATTTTCCTTACTGAACCACACTAACAGCCTTTTATCACGGCTGACAATGACAATGACAGCAACCTTTATTAAAAGTCAATTTGATGGTAGCAAAACTTCTGAAGTAACACAAAGGTTGGCAAGGTCTATAGGATCCACATGTACATGACATTCACCCTCTCAGCTTAATATAAATTATATTAGGGACAAACCCAACTTCAGGACATACAAGCCCACCTTTAGAATGAGCTGAATGTAGTATCATAATATTATAATTACTCTTAGAGGGAATGACATAATTATAACTTATGCTAGCTTCTAAAAGAATGGTGTCAATTATTTTAAATAGATCCTTTCTTGCCCCAGTATACAGTTTAAAAACAGCTTTCCCACCTTGCTGGAAAGTTCAACTGGAAAAGGTATCACTCTTGAACGCGACTGTAGGTCCAATAAAAATGACCCATAATATGGCGCAGGAATTAACATACCCTCTATAATGGAGATAATAAATGAGTATAGTGAAAAAAATTAAGAAATGAGTAAAAAGTAACTCTACATGGCTTCCAAAACAAAGAATAAAATTCCCACTGATGACTGTAAATGTAGAGTTAAGTGGCTGTAATCAATAGGTTGTGTCTAGTCCATGATTGTGCGATGCAGAAAATAACAGAACCTCAGTAGATCCTCTTGCTAGTTTGATCTGATTAAGTACTTTTTACAGTTTCCCTCGTATAATTATTTAGTAAAAGTAACTTTTTGTTACTACAGTACATTGATAACTCAGATAATTGTGCTGGATATAGTTCTTCTCTTGCTTAATTTTGGCACTCTTCAAAAAGGCAAACACACTCATATTAAAGTTACTCATCAGACTAGGACATGACTTACAATATATTATTACACATGTGTATCTAGGCAATCCTTTAGAGAAAAAAAAAATAGAGCTTTTGGCTACTACTACTGAGCCCTGATGACCATGCATGATAACAACTGCAACCCCTATATACCTGGGCATGCTATATATTACATGTAAGTACATACCTCCTTCATCTGCTAATGTATACGCAATTGCATCCACTAATGGTGTTGCTCCATTAGATACTATGAGCTGTACATAAACCAAAACAAAGTCAGTCCCTGAACCAAAAGGAAATTGCAGTAGTTGTGGTTACTGTTCATTCTTTTGATCAGGACCGAAAAAATTTAATATTCATACATGTATCTGTAACATAATAGGGAGAACTTTTGTCTTGATGAAATACTTACTTCCTCTGAAGATATGGGCTCTGCTGGCTTCATATAATGATTCAGGAAATCAGCAATAGTTTGTCTAAAACTAAAATAAAGAACAAAAATAGTGATGATGATGATGATGATGATGATGTGTGGTTCTATTAATATTGGCAACATTGGCACAGTAACTATGACTGTGTGACTGTGAAAGCTAGTTCTAATAATGTTTACATAAAAATTAATTGGATCAAATAGACTGTTGGCAACAGCAGTAGTGCGAAGGTGGTGGTGGTGCTGGTACAGTATAGTTATGGCAATGGCAACAGTGGCATGACAGTATGGACAAAGCAGTCACCACCAGTATTAGAAAATTACAGTAGTAATTGCTCTAGCTGTTGCTCTAATAATTTATTAGCATTTATTATTGGATGGGGCTATAATATAAAGAATTATCCAGGGATAGCAACCCTTGAGATCTATATAATTCTTCATGTTATATAAAAGCCAAATCCGGTGATCAACGCTTGGCTAAAACAGCTGAGCTACCAACCTTCTGCTGTCCTTAATCTGTTGATATCTGTACAACTGACATCAATTATACTGATATCAGTAATTGTCTCCTAGATTTGGTCAGCGGTAGCTGGTTATAAAGAATTAGGCAGGAAACTTGAGCCAGACAGAAATGGAGAAATGTTTTGAATGAAATAATAAAAAAAGATAATAATATCTGAAACAAATAATCCACAAACAACATCACAGGACTAAAAACCCCAACTGGCAGGAGGCAACCAGCCGGCAATTTACAGGCATAGCTGAGTATTTCAACTCGTAACAACCAAGAACAAATCCAGTTAGTGGCCTGGCCAGAGCAGGACTCGACAAACCCCGGACCACAACATTGCAAGTCTGATGTACTGACCCCTCAGCCACGCTGTCTCCTAAATGAAAAGCAGTTACTTAAGTCTAACTTGCATATAAAGAACTGTGCACATTTGTAACAGTAAAAATGACAGAATACCTCATCAGCCCCTCAGCACAGAAATATTCTGTGTGCTCTTGAAGTAAGGTATGAGATTCTTTTTCCTCAAACTATAAAAATAAAATTAATTTTAAAATGATCAGACATATACACGTAATATATTTACAATACTACATCACTTTGTTTCTCTCAAACTAATGAGATGGCAGAGACAGATACAACTCAACAAATACATACATGTATAATTATATCATATTCTAATTAAATCTAAATAAGGACGCTCCTTTTTTTCCCCAAATTGCTTTGCAAAAGATGATACTAACATAATTACCTTCTTTTTAAGCAAGTCAAATAATAACTTATTTTCACTTGTTCCCATGTTGATGACGCCCTAATAAAGACAATGTACATAAATAATAAAGGAAACTTGATAATATATATAATGGCGATAAAACCTGAGCTAATTAAACATAATACCTATACATATATTGAATCAGAGCTCTCATTAAGACAGTGCCATAACCCATAGCACCTGTTAGGCCTGAGCTTACTTGATGTTGGGGGTCATCAAAGAGGAAAGCTTTATAAGGTGACACAATAAACTTTTGTGAGATGGTACAGGTGAATCTTCATTTGCTACAACTACTTCAAAACTTAATGACAGCCCTGAGGGAAACAGTTCCAATTGTTACCTACCAGATAAGAACTAAACCTGTAAAATCAGGGACATTGCAGGGCTGTCACTAAGATGGGCAGGGAATCAAATAATTATGGATTTCTTTTCGTTCTATTTTTCTTCTACAATTTATTTTCCCTGGAAAGTACCGTAAATCCTCTATTAAGCCCCCCGGGGGGCTTATTTTTTTCAAGCACTTTTGAGGGGAAGCTTAAAAGGGAGGAGGGGCTTATTTAATTTAGCAAAACGCATCATCTGTGGCAAAAATACCGTGGTATGAGACAGAGTAGATTTATGTGTTGTACAATTAAAGTCTCTGTCAAAAGTATTTAATTCACCTGTCGGAGCCTAAAAGTAGCAAAAACAAAATTCTTATTCTTCAAAAATGTGCTTTCGGCCTCATGTTCTTTGGTAATTTTTATGAATAAACCATAACTGATCAGGATTAGGGGAGGGGGAGGGGGGGCTTAATGGAGAGGGGGGATTTATTAACTTTCCTCCTCTGAAAAGGGGGCGCTTATCAGAGAGGGGGAGGCTTATTTGAGAGGGGGGGCTTAACAGAGGATTTACAGTAGCTGGGTGCCATGTTAATTGTAGCAGAGGGAAGGCCATTCAATGACAGCACTGAGAGGAGGGGGTTGTAGTGTACTGTTCTGCTGCAAAATGTACATGTAAAGGGACAACGAGATATTCTTACCTCCCTAGAAGGGGTGGTAGTCTTTATCGAAATTTATAGAAGCAATTAAAGGCTGGTTTTCACTAGAGATGAAGTTAGATTTGGAGTCATTATCAAAAGAGTAGAACTCCAATGGCAGCCTCTAAATGTATGTTGTAAAGTTTAGGACATTATAGAACTGATAAGTAGGTTGAGTATGATCATTCGGGTGAACGTAGTCCCAAATAGGACTGTTGTTGTTGACAGTGACTGACCTGTGGGGTAGTAAGTGAGTTCATCCGGATGATCATACTCAACCTACTTATGAAATGGCTTCTGGAATCAAACCTTTCACAATATTATACTCTTGCTTGTATAGTACTGTACCTTAAGCACCACCCCTTTAGGTTCTTCACCTTCCCGACACGGGTGGCCCTGGGTGGCCCTGTAGTCTATAGTTTCCCCATACATTTTTCTTTTCAAATGCCCTGACATCAGCTTTAACTTAAACCTCATGATCATGCATCCCACATTAACTTAAATAATCACGAATAATTATTTATGCATGGGCAATCGATCGCACCTGTGGATTGTCGATTTTATGGAATGGATTCCCTTTGTGTTTTCCTTCAAACTTTGCTTCGTGTTTAACAAAAAGAGCCATTGCTTTAACACGGGCCGATGTGTAAGACATTTTTCTCAGTGTCAATACGAGATCGGATCCAACAGTTTTTGGCAGAAAACAACCACGAGTCGCAGATTTTAACATCCCAGTTTCGGGCACTTTTTGGTCAGCGGCAACCTAAGAAGTGTAAGTACCGACTTCATATATGATTCCTATAGTGTGCCGGAATATAGATGCTTGTAGCGTATACTTGTATCTTTCTTGGAATTTGTATTTGACATTCTTCTTTACTACACGAGTCAAGAAGACAAAGCAACTTAAAACTGCACTAAAAAAGGTAGGATTATTTTTACTTTACATGTATATTTACAAATATTATCTCCTAAAATCTATTACAGACCTGCATAGTCGCAAGCTCCTTAACTAAAAAACTAAAGTGCTACTGCGATGAATAGAATAAAATAAAAATACAGCAAATACGAAGGGACGTACTTATAGGAGAAAAAAATAACCGATTTGTCTATTTGTGTATCCCAAGGTTTATTTCCTGGAACACCGTCAGCGTTATAGCATGGGTTGCCGGTGACTCGTTGTTCCAAAATGGCGGAGCGTTTTTTTTAAATTGAGAGGCCCCTGGGACGAGTGGCAAAAGTATCATGTGATTTTTCCCGACTTTTTTCCCGCCTTTTTCAGCCGTTTTCACCTTTTGCCACTCCGGGCTCCGTGTGTCGTTTTAACTTGACGCAGGAAGGCTGTTTATCAGTGTTTGTTGAAGGTTATGTTTTCACGTTCTTGACAAAATGAACAGTTATTATGATAGTCTTCTTCACTTGTTTACGCTTTTTTGTTTTGTTTTAAATCCAGGTTCGCATAATTTTATTTGAGTCTGTGGTGAAAGAAGTGGTTTAATGTGCTGGGAAAAGAAAACAAACAAACAAAAAACCGAGGATGTGAAGTGAAGGTGAGACAAAACAATTTTACTGGAAAATTTAAGCTTGATAACTGTGACCACGGCAGGTTATTGGTAGGTCAACGCTGTTAGGTTTTGGTTTTGGTTTTATAAATATCATTCAAGCTGTTCAAATCTTGGTGTTGTTCGCGCAAACTACATAAAACGCGATCTCGCATTTGATTGTTGTTCGCGGGGGCGTGCGCGGGGTACTTTAAATTCTTGAATTGCCCCCAAACTTCTCGCGGCTCCGTCGCCAAATGGGAATAGCACTCCCCCGCTTAGCCTGCAGAACAAACGTTACTTTTTCGCGTTTTTTGACGAGGAGAAGCGTGAAGCGAGCAAGGAGCGCGAGACACGCGTGATCGGACTGTGCTCATCAAATTGTTGATACTTTTTCCAAACAATATAGCCCCACTATCGAAGACGACTTTGTAAACACAACAGGGGTCTTTTTTGCATGAGCATGCGCGACCGCTGAACAAGCGATGTGCATAGGGCGGCTCACCACAGGGTTTGCCTTCATCAAAATGGCGCGTCTCAAAGCTATCATAGCGATTATTTTGCTCGTTGGTCTTGGCGAATGTGCTCGTGATTTAACAAAATGTGTAGTTTGCAAAAAAAACTCTAACATGGTCTTAACAAAAGCGAAGTAGACAAGCTTAAACATACACGAGCTACTATCAAATTTCATCTCCCCACTTGACCTGGACAACAGCGCGCGTGTATGTAGTGCCTGGAGGATTGCGCTGACCTCATCAAAGTCTAAACAAAGTGCAGAAACAGTTTGTTGATGCAAGTAAACACTTTCAATTTTCTTTGTTTTGAAATCGGAAAGGAAGAGAAATATTAGAAAAAAAACAAAGCAAATTTCAGCGAGTGGGTTCGGAGTGCGCGAAAGCCGATGTTCAGTTCAGCAGTGAATTAATATATGTTCTACAATTTTCCCAGCACTTTAAAGCTACAAAATTAAGAGCACACGAGACGTAGATTAGTCACCTGGTGAGATGTTGGTGGTAGTCACTCTGTATGTCTCGAACAATAAAAAAAATGAATATCAATGAGACACAGTCAAAACTGCATTCAATAGGACCGAAATTAAAGTCCAATCTTGTGACCGATTTTGATGAAACATACGGTTAGGTTTCCCAAGAAGTACAGTAAACATGTGATGCCGACCAAAAGTTAAAAATCATTAGAACATTTAAGTTCTGGCTAAAAGCAAATTCCTGCAAAAGATGCGTTACAATATTAGTCCACGCAAAAACAAGAAGTTCTACAATTTTCCTATAAACAAACTTTGTATCACTAAAATACTTAAGGCAAAAACTTTCTATTCCAACTGAAAACGGCGTGGTAGTCGCCCGCTGATCGTTATTAATCCACTCCCGAAATATGGCTAAATCAGCTATTAACAAATAATTGTCAGAAATCCTCTACGGCATCGAGAAACTGATTTACATCCGATTTATAGACAAACATTAAATAAAGAACATTTTGCTCAGTAGCTACGCATCAGCAATGCATTCTATGCCAAACTTTGCGGTTCTTAAAGGGGAATCAAGACACGAGTCGAGCGCCAAACAACAACAAGCAGCCATGTTCGTGTCAGACATCCTTGAGAAACTTGCTCTTTCACCTCGTTCAGCGCATCAGTCTCCACTTTAAATCAACAGATCTTTACTTATTTTGTACAACGAAGTTCTTTCCTAAGTTCCTGCTACCATTTCAATCTCAAGCAAGCGTTCAAAGTGAACAATTTGGTTCCTATGACTATGCAGCACGGTCGCTGTCACTGGTCGCGTGCTCTTTGTTAGTGCTCTTTGACAAGTCAGCGGTCGCGCATGCTCATGCAAAAAAGACCCCTGTTTGTAAACACTATCTTGAAAAACATCTGAGATTTCTTTGCACTTTTGCCGTTGAGACTTGGAATTGAACAAAATTCAGGCTGGGAAATTGATTTTTTTTCTCCTGTTGGGACCTTAGTACCTCAATCAAAATTTTCTGCTTTTCCATTCTCCAATGTGTCATTGAAATGATACCAGATATTGAGCATACTTTACTTTTGTTTTAACCCCTTAAGTACCAATATCACCATTCAAATTCTCCATACGTTTCCTGAAAGAATTAGTTGAGAAAATTTAATAAAACAAAGAGTTTTCATTTCGTGATTATTTTATTAATTCTCATACCTTTACGGCTAATTACGTCCCACTTAAGTAATGGCCCTGGGAACAAGTTTGCTTGCTCTTGTTACTGGCGAAATTTTCCTCTCTTTAAACGTCTTTTGTCCTAATTTATAGAGGTAATCCTCTTAACAAAGAATAAATATTATTGAATACACTTATTCTTAAAGTAATAACTTAGCTTTTTCCTTAATTAAATAAACTGTTTTGAACAGTTTTAACGTGGGCCCTATTTTCCTTTGCACTCAAATAGTACATTTTTGTAACGTTAAATAAAGGGGAATCTTAAAATTTTGAAAGAATATTGTAGCCCATTTGCTTCTTTGCTTCGAAAATATACAGAGTTAGAAAGCGTGACACTTACGTCACGGTTGAACTCTCTTGTACTTAACTGCGTGTGCGTGCTTAAAATGCCGAAGTAAAAAGGTGTCCAAAATGGTCGCCCAAGCTCGGAACATGAGCGTCGTTAAAAAAATTTAGTCTTAAATTCACTATATAGTCAACAACCACTTTTGAAGCGAGTTGCTGAACTAAAACACATGCAATAGATTGAAATGTTGTCTGCCTTCCTAGGGCGGAGGAAGGGGATGTCCCTATAAACAATCAATTGATTTCAAGACCTAAGCGGCAGCTACCTGCGCAGATTAACTCCCTTGTAAAAATTTAAGACTTTAAATTTATAAACAACAAGAATGTTCTCCATTTTAGAATACTAAAGTCCAGTGGAACCTAGACGAATCTCTATGTCACGAAATCTTCGGTAAAACGAACTATATTCTTTGCCCCAGTAATATCATCTTGATATAGCGAAACCTCATTATAGCCACCCTTTTTTTAGTCCCTTGTCCCTTGTTTACATCAAGGGTCCATTGTAAAGTACTGTCACTCAATTTTTATAAGTATTAAAAAGCCTATTCGCATGAAGGACGCTCGTACTTCATTTAAGCAGCACATTGGCAGTCTATAGGCAATGCAGGACATTTTGATATGTATTTAGCTTGTCTAAACCCTAACACTACTTCACAGGCGGGGTAAAGATAACCTTGATTCATCGCTCTATAACAGGCCACATGCTGAGTATGACAGTGGACCACGTAGACATCTTTCTGCCTGCAGGAATCCCACTTTCTCTCCATGTGGTCAAAGCACGGGTTATTAGCGTCCCTGGCGGTTCTATTACTTGCAACGTGTTTGTTGAGAAAGTATTTTACTATACTTGTAACTTCACTCTCTTTGTTGATACTCTTATCAGGTTGAAAGACGTTGCCTTGTGTCTGAGAACCCTGGTCACCTGACTGGGAATCCTGGTCACGTTGCCGAGATTCTTGGTCACGTGACTGAAAAACTTGGTCTCGTAACTCGTGACTGTAGATCGTCTGACCTCGAGGAATTCGTGTCTCTGAAGTAAGAGGTTTAGTGAAACATCGGGTGAAGCAGATGAAAAGCACAATTAGAGATAAAACCATCATCTGAAATAGAAATTTCAAAAAGAAAATCGTAAGCTTCGCAGAATTAACTGCATACCAGTCACTCTTCCGTCGACAAATCCTTCATTATAAACGAGAGGCAAAAAGTGGAGTGCAGAAAAGTGAAACAGCACTTTCATTCTGAAAGCAAACAATTTGGTGACACAAATGTACGATTTTATTTAGTACTAGCAGGAGTTACCAGTTATTAAGTGATTCATTTGCCGGTTTGTTAAAAAGTGGAAATAGAAACGTTCTTACTTGCATCTCATTTTTATGTGAGACAGAAATTAGCGATGCAATTTAGAGCAGAAATGATGCGATTTAGAACAGATGTGATTTAGAGCAAGAAACTGACGTGATTCGTTAATACTATGTCACACTGCTAAGAGCCAATCAGATTGCAAGGACCACCAGTTATTTCAAAATGGATGTAATTTGACAATTAACTGTAAAATTTTTCAGACCCTCTTATTCTGGTGACCTCGTGTATCGTGATAATATTTTATTAATTTATATCGGGCAATTCTATAAGAGAACAAACACCGTTTTCAATACTGCAAATGGTTATTATAATCACAAAACTACAAATGGTTATTGCTGTAAACGTTGCATTTTATGAATTGTGAAACATGCCAAAAGTAGGCATGTCGTTATAAAGTTAAGTAAGATATATAATATACCAACAGGCGAAGCTTTGCACTCACCTTTTCAGCAATTCGGTTGAACATGTTCGTCGTGCAGTTGGCAATCTTTTACTTAGGTGCCTTGAACAGGGGTCGACTTTCAGTTCTGTTCTTCTTGAGGTAAAACTTCTTAGGTTGTCCACAGGGCGTTCGTTCCTGCTTTTATAAGCGATAAGGGAACGGCCGAAGGATTAGAAAACTTCCATTTCAGTCGCAAAATATCGCTGGAGTAATCAGGATTGCACCGTGTTTTTTTGTCTATGAGCACGCTGAAAGCGCGCCTTGAACCTCTCCGCATTTATCTTCAAACCGGAAGTAAAACATTTTGCAAATTTGAGCCAAAATGGTTCAGTTCACAAAAAAAGGCTGTTAATGTCAAACAAGTTGGACCCATCCTTTATAACTAAATGAAAACAGCAACACTAAAAGTGATGAATTTATTAGTTCTTAAATTAAAGAATGTTTCTGTTGGAAAAAGCAATAGTTAGAACCTCTAGTTCTATAAAAAAGAGGCGTGTAATGAAGTTGTGGTCTGCGTTTTGTGGCTTAACCGCATGAAAAGCACACCTACAATGCGGCTGTATTTTTGTATTGTGTCATTTATTTATTTATTTATGGATGTACAAATTTTCCGGAATGCGTTGATCGAACGGTATTTGACGTCAGTTCAATGGAGCTGCCAGTTTCTAACACTGGCGTAGCAGCGCCAATTGTTTATTTCGGTTCTAGGCCAAATTCGTGGATCCTTGCATGATACTGTAGTAGTCCCTTATATGATTTTAATACTTAATCCGTGAAAGAGGTTGTGGAATACTACACGCTAGTATGCAATAATTCCATGGTCTTCCCTTGTTTACTTGTAGCTATTTTGCTCTAGTTGCTAGTATCTGTTTCACGGGTCAAGTGAAATCACTCTAACTGAGTCAAACATAAATATTCGAACATATCCCAAAAGAGAGCGACTAAATATTTTAATTATATTCAAGGCCACAACTGCAGCTCACACCCAAGACAGTTGCAATTACCCGAGGTTTCCCCTTATCCATTTGTTCAAGCAAACCCTGGGACAACCCAAATTTCGCTCCTTTTATCGGGACATCCGTATTCTTGCCCTTCTCTGACTCTGACTTATAGATCCGCAATCTGTTATTTTGATATCGAATTTCGTAGATTATAGATGACTATGTCATCGAGATGATGATCTTGTACGTAATTATCAAAAGCTGGATTAATGTAATCTCGGTTTAGTAGCGTGCGTCTCAGCAGCCCTTTAAAAACTCTTTCTGAAATCTTAGACGTATCTACTTCCTTTTTAATTCCGGACGGGTGAATAAATTGGAGAAACAACAAACAGGAAGCTATGTGTACATCCGCACGCAGCATGCTATAGCGTCAGCGTCTACGATAATGTTATAACGGGGATTTTTTTCTTTCAGCATATGATCAATATGCCCAGAAGTTGGTTTATTGCGTATTATATCAGATGACATACAATATTTCGTCCGATATCCAGAAACCGAATAACGGGTTCGAAAAAATGAGTATTTCTGGACCAACTTCGAGGTCACGAGTCAGGATATCGAATAAAAAAACTCTGTCGAGTATTTGATATAATTTCTTTGATGATCAATAATCCTTCAAATCAAAGCTAAAATTCGCAAATATTTATGGTTACTGGCACCTTCATGGAAATGATTTCCTTTGTTCTTTGTTTTCTTTTCATGAACTTAATCAGTTTGAGAATTAAATGATCACAAAAACTAGGAAAAATGTTTCATCGGATGTATATATAACTTTAGATGGTAGGTTAAAACAAACCATGAACTCGATGTCCAACGTTAATAAGTAATTCTCAAAGTTTTTGAAATTAAAAGTTGGCAAAACTTTCTTTCTGTCTTTTTTTCTTTTCTTTTCTTTCTTTTTTTTTTTTCAATTATATCATTTATTCCAGTATGGGCAGGACTGGCTGGTACCTATGTAGTTACTGGCTTTGAATTGATTGAACTAGTGGGTCGACTTCATATATATCTGTTCTTTTCATGTAAAGACCTCAAAATGTTTGCAACACACAGCTCATTACGGACACGGAATAAATGGAAGGCATGAAACCAGGAAAACTTTGCACAGATTTTGTTAGTCAGGTCAGTTGGCGAAGTAGCCAATGGTCTCAAGTTGACGAGGGAAGTACATGGTACGTAATCCCTTATTTTCTCCACTTTCCATATCTATGATGGAAGAGCCGGTTTTTTTCTTAAAACCTGTTTTCAACCACATAAGAAAACGTAAGTGACCTTAAAATTTCGACTTTGATGTCTTAAATGAAAACGAAGAGAAATATTACTACTGTTTTTGTGGTAAGAGCGGTTTTTATAAGGGAACGAGGGTAAAGGATATTTCTGTGTTCTGTAAACTTTAACCTCGTTTGCTGAGTGCCTTTTTAAACAAACGAATATGTGCAACATTTTTGGCTAAGTGGTAACTACTACTTGCTATTTCGACTAATTTTAAAAAAGACAATTCTTAACAGAAACCCGAATTTGCCTTTATTAACGCACACGTTCACTTGTCGTTGTACTGATAATTAATAATCACTAGTTAGTCTGCTTTTTTACGCTTATTTAATGGCGTACTGGCCCCAACAAGACGCGCACAGGAAACTGATTAGGCATGATTGCACCCACAAGGAGGGTGCGTTACCGTTTTTACAAGAGCCCTTTTCACGGCCAATTCCCTAGACTGATTTAAAATTCCAGGCTATCGGTGGTTATCAAGCCTATATGGATAAAACGATATCTTATAAAATGCTGCTCATAATAACCCAGCTACGTACTCCTTGAATTAAATATCCCATTTCTTGGATAAAATTCTTTTTGTTATTTACTGTGGTACATAAACTGGAAGGGATTGCAACCGTCAGTCCTCCGAACATTTGTTTCACTACTATTTGTTCAGTAACCGATTGTACATTAATTTTTTTCTAATAACTATAAAATAGTTTTTTGTTTCTTTTCACATATTCAGAATTCTTTTAAACCAGAGAGCGGTTTAAATAACAACGACAGTATAAAGCAAGGAAATACTAACAGCGACAGTTATCCATCAATACAAAAATAGCTATGGAGCTATGGTATATGGTAGAATCGATTCAGGCAGCACATTGGCAGTCTATAGACAATGCAGCGCATTTTGAAATGTATTTGGCTTGTGGATAGCCAATTACTACTTTACAGGCGGGGTAACTATAACCTTTAGCCAGTGCTCCATAACAGACAGCGTGTGTACTATGACAATAAACCTCTTGGACATATTTTTGCCGACAAGAGTCCCACTTCCTGCCTCTGTCGTACAGGCACGGGTTGTTAGCGCCCCCGGCCGTTCCATTATGTGCAACCGACTGATGACTGATGGTCTGATTGTCAAGAAGTGGTTCCTGTTGGTGGGAAATGGATTTGGTGAAGCACAGGTTGGACAAACTCATGATGACAAGGAAAGGCAACATCATGTTCTGAAAAAGAAGGATTCAAGGATTTGAGGAACCTGAAGGAGTCCATAAACAGTAAGATAACTAGGTGCAATTACCAGCCGCTGTTCAGCTTGGGAAATTGGCCCACGCTCCTCCCTTCTTTGGAAGGAACGAGACCAGGGGCTTGACTTCTCCAAAGGCCCGGAAACTTTTCGGGCCGAAGGCAAATTTTAAAATCAAAACTTGTTGAATAGTAGCATAGTTCCTAGCTCACAAACCAGTCGATTTTGCTTCGTTAACTGATAGTTTCGTTGTATCATTGTCAAAATTATTGAAACTTTCATCTTGAATGTAAATACGGCAAACCTAAAACAGCTTTCCGGGCCCGAAAAGCCAACGGAACTTTCAAGAAACAGACCCGGGAGAGTGTCGGAAATCGAGGCTACAAAATAACCCCAGAACAATGATACAGTCGAACCTCTCCACAACGCTAACGCCCACTCTGGGAACAGAAGTGAGAAGACGTTGTTTGATGTGTCCGTATATTTAGAGGCAACAGCAATCACAGTAACTTTATTTATCCACGGTAAAAGAATCATCAGGAAAGAAGGAAAAGATTTGAGGTTGCAATTGCCACATCTCAACAAAGAAGTCTATGCCACAGCACTGAACCTCAACAAACTAAAACTGTTTTTGACATAATTGTTCCTAGGCAGTGGAATCGGCGAGCTTGTCCTCGGAATCTCTAAAAGTCATATAAGAATAACTAGAGATTTCGTTACGATACTAAAAGTAAATATAGAATGCAAATATTGCGGGGCGAGGCCATTTAGAGACTTGTAGACCATAACCGCACTTTGATTTCTCCTTTGCATATCCAACTTTTTTCAGTCCAAAGATGAATATAGAGACAGTCAACACGGGTGTCATAAGAAGATAAGGTCAAGGCAAGGAAATGTGGTTTAGTACCGAAGCGTTGTGTATACAGTTCACCACTTCAAATGAAATAAAAGGCCGACTTCCATTCAAAATACCATTGCCAAAGGCACGCTGTAAGGTAAAGTATATTTCAGGGATAGGATACATCTAATACTAACTGAGAGCGCAAGTCCAGCAACAAACGCAATTCGCCCCGTAAAATTAACTTCGAAAATAATGGAGCGCATTGAGATGAATTAATGATATCAGAAGTTGATTTATTTAGCGACTTTGCCGGGATGCTTGACATTTTGTACTTACCTCTGCGCGGATCATTTTGAAAACGATAATCTTGATGATATCGTACAAAGCGGTTGAAGATTTGTGAGTGATTTTCAATGAATGCACGTAACCAGATTACTCTTGCTTTTATAGCCCAAAATCCAATGCCAAAAATGGGAAACTATATCCTTATCATTGTCAGAAGTTGCGCTTTCAGGCTGTTTCAGTAGTTGCAGTACGATTTAATCTCAATCACAAGATCTAACAACGACGTACTAGCAGATCCGGACCTCATCTTTAGTAAGGGGCTCTCATCTTCACCTTGTGCATGAAGGGGGGAGGGGTTGTCGGCCCTTCAAATAAGGGGTGACCGGGGCCTACCTAGCCTCTTTCCACCTCTCCACCAAATCCGCTACTGAGTGGTGCCAAACGGGTTTTTGCTGTAAAGTTTGTATTAGGGCATAAAGTGTGTCATTTCATATTCATACGCTATGATAAATAAGTAAGTAAAAAACAAAAAGGGAGGGGAATGTATTCACAGGCAAGATTTTGGCAAAATTTTGTCATATTAACATACGATACCCAATCCTCCTTGATTTCCTTTGTGTTCCCTTCATGAATTATTAATGAGTTTGAGTATTATCTAAATGAATTATCAATATCATCCAAGGTCTTAATTCACGTAGCCCACGAAAGTTACATTAAAAGGGTATGGTATCATACCAAGCCCACTGGGATAGGATATCTACGATATCTATCTAAGGAGGGTTTCGTTAGTATGGAAGCTGAAACCATCCTGTACAACTTCCTAAACATACTTCCTTGCATGTTCGCATTTGGCCTCCTGATGCATTGATTTAGAGCCTAGGAAAACTTAAATAAAGCCAACGTAATGTGCTCAGTTCTGAATCTACAGCCGTACTTTTGAAAGTACAAAGTGGATCTTTGTCGTAGTTCATACGTTATATAAATACCCATTAATGTTTATTGGTTACTGACCAGTTCTGATGGGTTGGAATCTTTTTAAGCCATAAAGAAATCAAATGATGGCTCTCGCAAAACTTAGTGAATTGCCTAATCAGCTAATTCTTACAAGAGTTTTCAGAACCTTGGAATCACTTGGTGTACTATGATGATAAATTTAAACCTTTCTTTAAATTTTGTTAAGATAGGTTTAGAAAACAACCTTCAAGTATGCCCCATTCAAATAAGAGCGGTTAACCATTCAGGCACGAAACTATCGGGAAGACTTTTAAATCTTGCAGCTCTTGACAGGAAAAAGGACGTCAAGCGTCTTTACTTTCGAAAGGGCAAACGAATCTTTTGTTGATAATCAACATATCTCGATAGCAGTTAAATAAGGTAGAATAAAGACAGACGATATGATCCCATAACTAATTCAAATCGTTTAATCACCAATGATAATCCAATTGTGCCTTTTGCAGCGAATCAATCCCGTGTCACAAAGCCGCCATTCTGGGTGGCGATGCAACGCATTTTCACCAGAAACATAGGGATTAAACACTTAGAATGTTAGTTTCCTTTATTTTCAAGTTGTGACTTTGTTTCTTGCCCTCTAGCTTGGCCAGTAAATCGCGTCTCACAGGTGACTTCACAAAGGCCTCATCGGACGACCGCACAGAGCTTCCAGTCTCCTGTTCCCTATACATACATACATACATACTTTATTCAACAGGGCTTTTCAGTCACAATGTTAACTATTACATAATACTGGTAATTAAGAAAAGAAAACTTGTTTACAGTAGTTCAATTAAATTAAAATTATTCAAAATATATTCAAAATTATTTCGTATGAAATAAATTATTAAAAAGTGTCCGCTTAAAACTATCAATATCTTTACTGTTCCTAATATTGTCAGGTAGCCCATTCAATTCCCTTGCACCCCGAAACTAGAATGACCTTTGTCCCATTGATAGTCTACAACGGGGGAACACAAAGTTGTTACGTCCCCTTGTGTTCTTGTTGTGAACTGCTGAACTTTTAATAAAATATTTACCTAAATAATCTGGAGCTAAGCCATTTACACATTTGAATACTAAAACTAAGTCCTTAAATAGAACCTTCTCCGTAACATCTAACCGTTTAAGAGATCTCCGTCCCTGGTCAAACTTCTTTGAACCTAATACAACTCTGACAGGTTACGTTTAGATGTGTTCCCCCATACAGAGGAACAAAAAAAAAGTTTACTGAAAACAAAGCTATTTATAGGTAATAAAAGCGTTTTCTTATCCAAAAGATGTTTAATTCTACCTATCTGTACCAACTAGTTCATGCAACTAGAGATTGTTTTAGTAACATGTACATCATAGGTAAGATAATGATCAATGTATACCCCGAGATCCTTAGATAGCAACTGACACTGGTGAAATAGTTTTTCCCAACAGGGATAAGGAGATATGAGGTAGCCTCTTCATAAGTTGTGCTGAGCCAACAACCACTAATTTTGTCTTATCAGGGTTTATGAGGGGAGAATTCTTTGCACACCATTTACTGATGTGTGTAAGATCTTGGTTTACGGCTGCCATAGCACTTGATGAGTCTGATACAGAAAATTTAGAGTGCAATTGACTGCCATCAACATATGCAGAGGGTTGGCTATGGGTAGTAACACTGATTAAATCATTAATGTAAATAGTAAAAAGCACAGGAACCAAGATCTAACCCTGAAGTACTCCATTTGTTAAGGGTAACAATTCTGAGACTGAACCTTCGTATCGTATTCTTTGATATCTAATTAATAGGTAGCTATTAAACCAGGAAATTACGGAAGCTTTGAGGCCCAGTTTTCGTAATTTTCCTAACAATACATTATGATTAAGGCTGTCAAAAGCTTTTGACATATCAAGCAGTACTAGTAACGAGGCAGATTTTTCATCGACTGCTTTCAAAATGTTGTCTGTAACAATTATGAGGGCAGTTTCTGTCGAATACATTTTTCTGTTGCCACTTTGACAAGTCGACACTTGGCATGCGTTGTCAAAAATTCCACGAACTGCTTGTGTGCCAGTCTCTCACTTACTTTCGATAGGATGGGTAACAATGAAATCGGCCTGTTGTTGGCTAGTTCTTCTGAGATTCCTTCTTCAGGTACAGGTATCACCTCAGCAATTTTCCATGCTTTAGGAAAAGCAGCCATCTTAAATGAATTTTTCACCAGTCTGGAAATCACAGGTGCGATTCTCTCACAACTGTCTTTCAGGACTCGTGCTGAGATTTTATCATATCCTGGTGCTTTGTTGGTAGCTAAACTCTTAATGACAGACTTGACGTCAGTTTCTTTTACATCTTGGAACTCAAATCCTTCTGTTTCAACGTGTTAGGCCAGTGTCAATGCTTTCCTCACTAGAACCACATTCTTCATCTTAACCATATTTCCTTGTTATCAGGTTCGCTTTATAGGCAGTAAGTTCTTCTACTGATATAAAGTACTTGTTGAATTTATTTGCTATCACTCTCGCTTTCTAGTTATATGTGAAGGAGTTCGTAAGGACGGAGGGTTAATGAAAACTTTTAAACAGTGAACTGGTGCAAAACAGCAACACTTTATTCCGACTTGTGGCCCTCCTCTGGCCGGGGGTGTTGAAGAGTTGTATTCTCAACTTTTAAGACCCGTAAATAGTTTGTTGAAAGACGTTCGTAAAATAAAATCTAAAATAAAAGAGTAAAGAATGTAATTTAGGGGCTGAAACACAGATCAGAGATGCTCCTAAACCTAAGAATTAGGGGTTACTTTTCTGCTTTTTAATTCTTCAGAAAATACTGAGAAATAATAGCTGTCAGGGGCCCTCTTACCAATAAAAATTAACTGACAAAACTG